GTCCTGCTCAGCGTGGGGCTGGCGGTGCCACCGCTTGTCCCTGAGAGCGGCACGGGAGGAGGCTGGCAGGGCAGGCCGAGCGCAGCGTTGGTGTCTCTTCCGCCAGCCCCAAGCCTGGGGTGAGGAGCCTGGCGGGGGGGCCCTGGTGTGACCCCTGTGTGTCCGATTTCAGGATCCCACCTTGGCTGGGACGGAGAGCAGCACCAACGACATCTCCCACTACATTGGTATGTTGGACCCATGGTACGAGCGCAATGTTCTTGGGCTGATGAACCTGCCCATGGACGTCCTGTGTCAGGTATGTGCATGCCAGCTGGTAGGGCTTGCCGTCCCCTTTCCCCGCGATACAGGGCAGCTGAGCGGAGAGCTTCTGCTTAGCACTGGGCCACCATGACCTGGTACTGCAGGCTGTGCTACATGGACACGGGATGGAGATGGGTGGTCAGGAGGGAGGGTTTCTGTCCCTGGTGGGGTGGGACGGGCAGTTCTTGGCCCCGGGCTGTGGGTACCACATACCCCATCGGGCTTGTGACTTATTCTTTCGCCGCAGTCTGCCAAGCCAGAGGCTGAGTCCCAGGAGGACTCGCAGGAGCAGCTGCCCATCCTGGCCGACATGATCCTCTACTACTGCCGCTTCGCCACGCGCCCCGTGCTGCTGCAGCTCTACCAGACGGAGGTGGGTGAAGGGGCTCAGCACCGTCTTGGCAAGGGGGGAAGAAGGTCTTCTGCTTGTGCTACCAACTTGGGACCTGCCTGTGCAGCAGATGGGGGTATGGCACAGCACCAGGTGCTGGTGAGGCAGAGCTCGGTCTCCTCTTACTCCCCAGGTGCCCACGGTGCTTTGGCTGATGCTCCAGGCCCAGGGACTGAGAGCGTGCAGGTCCTGCCCAGACAACCCTTAAGTCACACAAGCAGTTTTCCATCCAAATACCTTTCCCCATGGCACAAAGCGACTCCTGTCACCGCTGGAAATCCCTCCAGTGCTCTGCTTTCCAACCAAGCCCTTCCGTGAAGCCTGTTTTCCATGCCCCGCTGTGTGCACGGGGCAGACGTGGTGGGGAGGGTTGAATGCACGGCTGCAACAACTGCTTTGGTGCTGTGGCACGAGAGTGGCTGCAGTGGGGCCGCGGTGAGCAGAGTCGCTGCTGTTTATGGCATTTGTGTTGCCCAAAGCGATGCCCAGACCCTGCTGTTAAGCTCATGATGGGTTTTCTTTAGAGGGGGTTGGGGAGTTTTCTTTAAGTGAAAATTAGGTTTTTGGGTTGTTTTCCTTGCTGGTGGTCTGTTAAAACAGTCAGTACGGTCGGAAGGCAACTGTCACTCAAGACAGTGGTTGAAAGGTGTATTTTGAAAATGCGAAAGGATTTTCCCAAACTGACCGGTTTCCTGGAGAAAGGAGCGAGAGGGGTGAACGTTGCCTGACGCGGGGCTGGGTCTCCTCACCACCACGTCTCCTCTCTTCTCCCCTGGCAGCTCACCTTCATCGGGGGAGAAAAGATGACCGAAGTCTTCATCCACTCCCTCGAGCTGGGCCACTCGGCGGCCACACGCGCCATCAAGGCGTCAGGTCTGTAGCTGCTTCTGCACCCGCAGCCTCAGGGCAGAGGTCTGCAACCTGCTGGGCTGGGAGATAAATGGAAAGAGGGGGGTGCAGGGGCTGCAAGAGGTGTGTGAGCCCAGGCTGCATCGTGAGCGAAGATCCAGACATCTCTTCACAAATTTGGAAGTGAGGCGTCATGGTTCTCGCATTCCTTTTCAAGAGCAAAGCTGTGGCAATGCTTTGTTTGTTTTTTTTTTTCCTGCTGTTAAGTCTAAAGCGTGTTTGTAATAAAACAGTTTCAAGCCCATTTCCTCCCTCTCATCAGCACCTGGCCGAGTGCAGCTCTTCATCTTTTATTTCTGCTGCTTTATCATTTATATCATTTATATCAATTATAAAGTGTATCATTTTCAGTATCATTTATAAAAACCTTCTTTCTATTTTCCTTAGTTTACTGGACAAAGCAAGGTTTGTGCATGTGCTTGTAGCCTTCCCGTGAGGGAGACCCGTGAGCTTTTACGCTAGGAACTTATAAAATTAGTAGAGACAAGAAGCAATGGTAGAAGCATCTGCCTGGAGGGTGGTCCCCAGCTCTCCTGGGTGCCAAGGGCAACGTGCTGTCTGGTGCGGTGCAGCTCGCAGAGACACCTCATGGCCAACCAACACCACTGCATTTAAACACGTTGCTTAATTGTATTTTTTTTTTTAACCAATTGCTTTTCTGTGATCTCGCCTTGTCTTTCTAAACAGGGCTCGTAAAACATCCTCCATATGAAGTGTCACCACCCCACTCCCCCAAAAACCAAGGCTTGGCCAAGACCTCTTCCCAATAAGTCATGAAACCACCAGTCCTTTCTGACTTTGACTTTGTTGTTGTTGTTGTTGTTGTTGTTTTCCTTGGATTGTCTGGCAGCACACCACTTAACAGCTGCAAAAAATTATCCAGGGAAAAAAAAGTAAGTGTCGGGCACAGTATTTCAAGGGTAATTTAATGTGGGCACAAACATGCCCGGAAAAACAGGAGCTGGGTTAGCAACGCGGCCTTTTATTGCTTTGTGTTTTCCCTGGAGCGCTGACCCCTCTGCACCGGCTTAGCCAGCATCGCTTCCAGTTTTGCAGAGCTGCTTTGTTGTGCTTTGTGTTGAAATTCCTGCACTGGATTAATTGCTTTCTGGCAGCTTTTAAGCCACCTTTTCTTTTTGCTCCGCAGCTGTGTTCAGCAAACCATTTTTTTTTCTCCCTTTCTGTAGGTACTGAGTGTGCTGCTGTATCCGTAGCCCGCTGAAGCATGGGGATAAAAGGCCACCATGTGACGTTTGCTCCTTGTTTTGTGCAGGTCCAGGCAGCAAGAGACTGGGCATAGATGGAGACAGAGAAGCAATCCCACTAACACTACAGATCGCCTACAGCAAGGTGAGTGCACGAGACTCGCACAAAGACAAAGGCGGCAGAAAACCGCTTCGGTGCGGGGCAAACATGTCTCTGCTGGGGGCTGAGAGGGGCAAACGCTGGCAGTGTGCTGGAGGAGCCTGAATCCAAGCCCAGACAAGCCAAACTCAAGCTAACTGTCTACTTACTGGCTAACTGGGGGGGCCTTTCCACTCCTGTTCAGCCCAGTAAAAGAGGGAATGTGCAGCCAGTTTCCACAGAGTGGACGTGTACTGGGTGCCACCTTACACTGGTGAGCTTTGCTTCCAGGGAGTGATGATGATCTTCTCCTATTTTGTTGGTTCCTCTGCAGTTATTTAGTGTTAAGCCTGGGCAATTTTTGTAAATCCAAGGTTAAATTAATTTTAATGCCTACTCAAACTTTGTCTGTGCAGCTCCAGGTAAATCCAGATCTGAGCTAGTCCAGCCAGATGGTTAGGGGTGGGAGGTAGGGTAACATCAGCCTGGAGCGTGGCATCTCACGGGCTTTGGTTGGTCTCTGCAGACAGCCATCAGTGGAAGAAGTCACTGGAACGATGTTGAGAAGGTCTGCACATCTGTCAACCTTAGCAAAGCCTGCAAGAAATATGAAGAACTAGGTGGGTCGAGGTGGTCTTTGTGGCTTTGCGTAGGGAGCAATGGGAGGGACCGTTGGAGCGAGAGGACGGTGTGGATGTTCTAGCTGGAGCGAAGCAGGGATGTGTGAACACAGAAGATACATGGGAGGTGCCCGATGTTCCCTGGGCATACTGTAGTCCAGGGGCTGTCCTTAGCACCACATCAGGGATGAAGGGCATTTGATTTCCCATTGTCCTAAAGCTTCCAGCCAGGGGAACGGGATGTCCATTAGGGATGGGGCTTGGATGGTCCAAACAGTGGGATGATCACTGGAGAGTGGTGCTTTCCAGAACAAAACTTGTTCAGTAAGGAGAAGGATAACAGGTAAAACTGTTGTTAAATGAACTAGGACCAAGGGAGAGGGTGCTTGTCCTGCAGAGCGCAGCAGCTTTCCGCAGGCTCTCGCTAAGCTGGTGCTTCACCCTGGTTTCCTTCCTGCAGCTCAGAGATAGCTGGCTGCCACATGGTTTTGCTTCACAGTTTTGTTTTTTTTTTCCTAATCAGGTTTCTGATAGGTTATTAATAAGGCTTTGAGCCTTTTATAAGCAGCAAGACTTTTAGCCTGTGTGTGTATTTAGAAGCAATACCTGTTCATTCTTGCTTAAGAACTGCTGTTGTGGCAATCAGACACCCAGTTCTGAGTAAACGGAGGGTTTTTTAGTTGCTCTTTCCTTGTGTGCTTTGCGTCTGACAGATGTGTGGTTTGTGAGTGGAGCAGTCGGGGCAAACAGGTGATCTACCAAATAGGAGACAGATACTACATGCCCCACAGAGCTCAACCTAAACCTCTATCTCTCCTGTCCCACCTGTTGCTACCCCATCCGTGAAGCCATGCAGACAACTCTGGAAAAAACACAGAAGTAATTTCTGACGTCCTCTATTCATTTTTGAGTTGGGTGTTTCTGCACTAGTTCTGGAGCTTCTCTTGTGTTGCCAGCGCTGTGGGTTTGCTTCAGGGCATGTCCTCAGTTCCACGCTGGAGAGGGGCTTCTCCATGAATCTCCTTCCTTCCAAGAGAAACCCAGTCCCCTTGACTGTCTCCATTGGTTTTCACATTCAGCAGCTTGACCACAGGATGTCACTGTAATTCCAGAGACAAAAAAGCATCTCCAGGTGGACTGCAGGAGAGGCCACTCTGGGAGAGCTAGGAGTTCTTCCCGTCGATGGGGCAATGGGTTTTCTCCTGTTTAGGCCCGAAGATAGTTAAATGCCCTTTGCTGCTATGTTTGGAAAGCAGTTGGAAGTTACTCTGAAGTTTACCTCTGTCTCTCTGATTGCTCGCTTGCTTTCTGTCTAGGTTAGCATTGGGGAAGGAAAGCTGGAACTGTATTGTATTTCCCTTGACAGTGGGGTCCTGTTTCTGGGGGTGAGAACCACTGTTTCTGGGGTGCTTTGAGGGGTGGAGGGACAACTTGGGTTCCCACCAGTGGCCCAGAAGCCCCAAGTGATAACAGTTTTCTTTTGTTACAGCCTCAAAGACAGAGTGTCTCAACCTGACCATGACGGAGGTGGTCAAAAGGCAAAACTCCAAATCCAAAAAAAGCTTCAATCAGGTAACTCAAATCATGGTGCTTTTGCATTTGGTAACAGGATGTCAGCCTGACTCAGCTGGGAGGGAAGCAGGGCAGGAGACAGTAGCTCCTTGGGGGATCTGTTTCATGTTGGCCATCAGGCCTGGCTTAGGGGTGCCCAGCTCCCCTGCTCCCCTTCCCTGCACAGGGATAATGCGCTGAGCCTGCCAGCTCCCTCACGTGGACACTTTTTCTATCAGCAGATCAGCGTGTCCCAGATAAAAGTAGACAAGGTCCAGATTATCGCTCTCCAGTCCTCCTTTGCCGTGTGCCTGGACCAGGATGAGCAGAAGATCCTACAGAGTGTCACCAGGTAGGAACTGTAACGTGGCCAGCTGCCCACTGCAGTCAGCGCTCCTGGGATGGTGCATCCTGTGTGTAAGGACTTGTCTGTGAAGCACTGGTGGTCACTGCGGGGATGAGGTCCTGAGCACCATGGTGGATCTCTGCCAGATGCCTGAGCTGGGTGACATAGCTCCAAGCTCTGTAGGGCAGCTGATCTCAAGTAGGATGGAGGGTCCTGCTCAGATCCCAGCAGCAGTTTACCTTCATGACTGCCACAGTCTAAAGGGTGGTCCCCAACCAACTGTTCACCTCTGTAAAGACAGCTCTTTCAGCAAGACCAATCATAAGCCAGAGGAAAGCTATGCAACATAAATGAGGTGTCTGGAGACCACTGGGCATATGAGCAGAGCCTTCAGCTTCTAAACCTCATTTGGGTTCTCCACCACCTTTTGCATACTCATGGCAGAAGGAACGCATGATCTTCATGGGAGAGACTGGGGTAGAGCAAGAATTGTTCATTTGACTGTTCATCCATCAGTTGTGTCCCCAGGGCACCAAGCTGGCTCCCTGGGTGATGGAATTTGAAAACTGACTGTAGAGAACATACTTCCATGAGCACAAAGAGATCAAAACAGTTGATCCACGGATCTTAAAAATGTGCAAGCATTTTAATTTCTCACTCGGAGAGTGCAGAACTCTGCAAGGTTATGCTGCCTCCAATAGAAAAAGATTTTGGATCTTAAATAACCCTAAAGAAAAGTGTTTTACTTAACTTGTTTAACCAATCTGAGCCAGCTTAAAGCCCTGAACTCTCAGCACTCAAACTCCAATCCTATTAAAGGCTGCACTGATCCCTGTTTGTTCGCAGATATTTCTGCTGCATCTGAGGACCGTGATTCTCAGCCACACACCTTACTTATAACTTGGTTTCTTCCTGTTCCCCTGCAGGTGTGAGATCTCTGTGTGCTACAAACCCAGGGACAGCGATCTCTTTGCACTGAGGAGGTCCTCTTTGCCTCCCCAGGACCCCACCGAGTTTCATTCTCTCCTGTGTTTACCCATTGCCACCTTCAGTGGAGCACTGCCGTAGAAGAACCCTGTGTCCTCTCAGGCCAGACCACATCCAACACCAATACAGCCTCAGGAAAAGGAAGCTGACTGTCCTCCTTTGGGCTGGAGATCCATCCATTCTTGTCCAAGACTTCCTGCAGCCCAAAGCGTTAGCAAGGTGGCTGAGCTGCTCCTGGTCTGGGCTTAGCCCATCCTTGTGAAATGGGAACACTGATGTTGTGCTCTGGTATCTCTCAGGGTTCCTCAGCAATGGGAGGAAAGTGGTTTCTTTTTCAGCAGACTGCCAACACCTGGATTGAGAGAGCAAGGCAAGGACAGCAATATTTTCCTGCCAGCAAATGGTGCTGTGGCTGTATTTGACAGTGCCTGCAAGGCCAGTGTGATCTTGGGGGGAGCTCATGGAGGGACATGTTGGAAAATGAATGTCCTTGGCTGAGTGGTGGTAGGGGGCCTTCAACGTGTGCGGAGCTGCAGACCACCCAACCAAAGTCCTGATGGCATTTCACCCCTAACAGGTCGAGGGTGCTCAGGACAGTTCTTTCAGGATGGGGACAGGCTTTCTCAGTGTTTGCTTTAAATTATGACAGTTGGGTGTCTTGCAGAGAAACAGTGCCCAGCAGAGCAACCCAGCTGAGGCCCAGAAAGACCCCAGCATGGGCTGTAGACTGCTGCTTGCCTTCCACTGAATTGAGTGCAATGGGCCATACCAGGGCACAGACAGCTTGTCATGTATACATGCATTTACTGCAAATCCAGGACCTGCAGGAGATGAACATCCAACTTCTGCAGAATTTCAGAGTTTCCCCAGGAGATGTACTCCCTGTTCAGCCTGTGTTCTCATGTCCTGCTCCCAAGTGCTGCACACTAGAGACATCTCAGAGGCTGAATCCTTAACAGTTGCTTGAAATATGGCAGGGAACCTGCTCTCATTCATAGGAGGGAGGTAGGTACTGGGAAAACCACGAGGATTGCCTAAAGCTTACCTGAGGAGGCAGCTTTGCTAGAGAAGGACCCAGCACCAAAAACACTAGTGACACTTAAAAGCGACGGTAGGATTTGAGATCCCCCCTCCCCTGCAAAGAGGCTTTCTGTCCTCTTCGTTCTCTCTGCAAGGCTGTAGGTACAGAAAGGTGCAATAGTTGGGGGCATTTACAGGTATTCTGACCCCAGGAGCAAAAAATGAGACTGGAAAAGCCTTGCCTGGTTTCATAGCCCTCAAGCTGTTTCTCAGTAGTTTTTGGTGATTGCACTAATGGTAACAGGCAGAAGAGCATGCTGCCTGCTGAGGCTACAAGCATCTTAATGCTGAGGACTTATGCACCCTCGAAACGTCTGGAAGGGACCCCTAATACTGCTGGGGGGCTGCAGGGCTCAGCCACAGCGTGGTCCGTTCAGCATGGGTCCCTTGATCCTCCAGAAAACAGGACCTGGTCAACTCTTAGCACTAGTTAGAACAAGGCTGGGCTCTGTCCCCAAGGGCTGGTGGCACAGCAGCAGTGTCGTCTGAGGTTAAATCTGCCAGGAAAAGGGCCAGAGCCCCTGCAGGCTTCAGTTGTCCCTGAGGAGTGTGGGTCAGGCTTGTCTGCTGGATTCCTCCACATCCCTCCTGGAAGTGTTTGGAGGAATCTCTCCTGTGCCAGCGACTCTGATCCTGGCCCTGCTGGCTGCTGGACCTGCTTTCTGTCCCCACTGCCTCTGCTGTTTGGGGACAGTTTAGTCTGGGCGCAGTGGTGAACATCTTGGGTTGAGAAGGTGCCAGCTGGCTCTTTGGCGTCCTCAGCAACTTCTGCCAATGGCTAGAGATGAGCAAAACCAAGACGTGAACATACTCCCGAGGCTCTGCGCTTCATCCTTCTACTTGAATAAACCGTCCCAAGGATGGTGTTGCCTTGCGGACTCCAAGAAAAGACCCTCGTGTGGGGTGAAGCATCACTTGGACGTAAGCAGGCGCTCTGGCTGCACCATGATGCAAAGCCAGCTTGGACTCCTGGCAAGGACCCACCTTCCCCGGCCACGCACCGACTCCAGGAGCACCCATCCTTTCCTACGTGCATGAGCGGTGTCTGTCCCTTGCTTGCAGTGCGGACGCGGCAGGGACACCCAGTCACTGCCAGGTCATGGGGGGCTGTCCCCTCTCTCACAGCATGCCTGTGGGGCAACGTGGGAGCGCACGCTGAGGCCACTGCTGCACATTTCTGCACGTCAGTATTTTAAGTCTAATAGGCTCAAGGGATCAGAAACAGATTTTAATAGCTCTTCCCATGCACTTGGAAGTGACTTTTCATTTCCCAAACAGGTTTGTGCGCATCTTCTCCAATGGGGCTGAAATTTGACAGCTGTTTTTTTTTGTTCGATACTTTAAAATAGCACCTTATCCTGTCAAAACATTGCTATTTGTGATCTTGATATCCGTGGCTAAATATATCTCTGCCGCTGTTAATGATATAAACCTCTCTGGTTTCAGCTGGCCCTAGAGAAATATTAGAGAAGAGAATTTCCACCTCAGAGAAAATCAAGCACAAACTCTGGGGCCTCATAATCCTGGCTAAGGTTTTGACCTGTGATGCTTTCTGGAAACGAAAGAAGCCCGAGGTTCTTTCAGGTCATCCTTGTACATATGTGCAACCTCACCAAATCTGTGTAATGTCTGTGCTGATCTGTAAAATACTGTTCAAAGAACTTTTAAGGTAATTATGGAATATTAAATGCTGATTTATTTCAAGTACAGCATTTGAGTCAAGTAATTCCTGAGCAGGCGGGAGGCACGGCTGGAGGCTCTGTATCCCCACGAGGAGGGCAGGGAGCCGCCGGGTCCGTTGCAGAGTAGCGGACCTGAGAGCAGGAAAAGGCTCATAAAGTCATTATGTTTGTGAGCCTGGTCCCAGAGGGCCCGACACGGAGACCTGCGGAGGTTAGTTGAGCTGCTTCTGTTCTGTGAGTACAAAGCAGGTGTTGATGCTGTAAATCCAAAGTTGGTTTCGTGCTGGATTAAGGAGAAAAGAAGCTAGCGGAGCTGGCGTGTGCAAGGCGAGATCGGTGCGTACCCTTCCCTTCTAGGAGGCTCCTTGACCTCTGCGGTGTTGGTTTGCAGAGCACCGCAAGTTCCTCCGAGAGCTGGATGCCTGGCGGCTACCGGGGCCGGGGGCAAGGTCCAGCCCCAGGGTCCACAGCAGAGCCCTTGGGCGAAGGGCGACTGCTCGGCGTCGGCAGGTTTTTGCCCAGCAGCCGGGTTTTGGGGTATTTCTGACTTGGAATTCTCTTCTGCATCTTTGGGGATGCAGACTTTGCAGATGGAGCTGTTGCTGCGGAAAGTGCTCTGAAATATGGAATGAGACTTGCTTAACTGTCTCAAGTGTCGGCTTCTCTTCCTGTGGGTATTCAAGGAAAGAGGCTTAGCTGGTAGGTGTGATGGCCAATGTGTAGTAATCAAATAAACAACTGTGGGAAAAGTAATTTCATCTCAGGCAGGCCAAAAAAAGAGATGAGAATAACTTTTGTTAATCAACACTTTGTTATGTATAAGCTATCAAATTTTTTCACTTCGATTAGAGAATAACAAAAAGTGGTTTTTAAATAGAAAGAAAAGGGTCTTTTGAAGAGGCAAATAGAATTCAAAAGGAAAATTCTTTATTTTCCAAACTGGAGTGATAGTCTGCTTTTGTTTCCTCTCAACAATAAAAAAACCCCAAACCCTAAATCACAAATACCCATTCCCTGTTCTTTTATTTTTTAAAAGAAAAGTGGAAAGAGGAACACATATGCTTAAATCTGAAGCAGAAAGAAAGTACTTTATTCTGAAAGCATGCATGACGAAAAGTTTAGGATCAGGGCTCAAGTCTGATCCTTGAAGTGCTGCATAGCTGAGGGTTTTGCTCTTGTATGTACAAAAGATTTAGCAAACAGCTGCTGATAAAATAAACAAGGACGGGTTAAGGCTCGACTATTCAACAAAACAAGTTTTGCCTCTTGTAGATATGGTCAAATCAGCTCGATGGAGCTTTTTGCAACTCTCACAGCATCAAAGCTGGGCTGGTCTGTGGGCTGTCTGCACCTGTGAGGGATGGGGAGACAGTGGATAAGGTGTGTTCAGCGTTTCAGGCTGGGAACACCAACTTACGTTGGCTTCCTGAATGAGATAGGCTATACCAAAAAAAGTGCCTTGGGGTTTCGGTATGTGTTCATTTATCTCAAGGTGCAGTGGCAGTTTGAGATTGTTCCCTGCTCTGTCAGGTGTTGTCATCCCACAGCCACCTCAACCGAAGCTGCTGGCCTCAGCACAGCTGGAGTCAGACGTGCTCCACTGCTGGTGAGGTGGGACATGGAGATGTGGTGTGGGAATGCGCTGTGGGGCGACTTCTCAACACCCACTATCGGTGGTGGCCATCCATCCTCTGCTCTTCTCCAATGGTGCATTCTGCATAGGTGCTTCTCATGTTTACTGGTATGATCCCCACAACTTCTCCCCACTAGCACCACAAGGAGCATCTCGGTATGGATGCTTGCGTCGGGTACCAGTATGCCACAGGAGCTGATTGAGAGCCAAGTCTGCCACCCCAGAGTCCCCATGGCTCAGTGCTGGCCAGGAGCAAAGAGCTTAACACATGCAGGCAACATCAATTGGGTTGCTCAGGGTCCAGCCAAGGTTTTAATAGCTTCAAAGCTATTTGGAGATGTTCTAGTGCGTGAGGTGGACAGCAACATAAGCCAATGATCATCCAGAGAAGGGGTCCTTAAGCGGCCAATCCTGATCTGGTGGTTAATTAGGAATACAGGATTAATTAGCATCAATAGGCAGGAATGAGATTGCCTGTACTGGATCCACTAAGTCGTGAAGATACCCCTCTGAAATGTAGAAAAAGCAGGTGCCACCCTATTTTGGCAGGTGGGGCAATAGAACCCACCTTCCATGGTCTACGTAGATCATCATCAGGTTGTCTGAATGGAGACATTGCTGGGAGGCATGACGAATGCTCCCAAATCATTAGTTGTATCTTGAAGCCTTTTGAGTGAGTGAAAAAT